AAACTCCCCGTTGGGAAGAAACATCTGGCAGAACCAGGCTCAACATGGCGATCTTCTGCAGGACCTGTTAAGATGAGACAGGGAACGCAGTTAGAGCCCGGGAGGAATGACACTCTGATAAAGCTTTAGCTATGAAGGTGAAGGAGGGGCTGGAGGTGGGTTGAAACGATGTCATCTGAATGAAGTTAGCGCATCCACCGCCTGCACACAGGAGCAGACAAGTGGATCGGAGGCCTTTTAAGATAAACTTTGGATGCTGATTGGCTTTCGTGGAGGCGTGGTTCAAAGTTGAATGGCTGTGTCGCAGGTGGATGTAGGAGAGCAAAGAGTTTCTTCAGCTGAACTTCTACCTAGGCTTCATATTTCTAACACTTTTAAAAATTCCCTTATGACTTTCTCCCCTAAACTGGTGCAGTTTATACTTTAAGCTTTTCAGAAAATTTCTTACTACAGTATATCTTCTACCTATTTTTTAAAAAAACAAAAAAACAAAATACAGCTTTTTATAGCACTGGAAAACTGTATATTATTTTTTAATCAATTCATTAATACAACCCAAGCTATATTTCACTATCACTGAGATGATGACAACCCAGTAGAGATCATATCAGGAACAGCAAACACCCTCAATGAGACAAAGAACAAATTTGTGTATTTTTTCATATATCATATGATAATATCATATTTCAATATCATAAAGTCATAAAGATGTTTGATTGTATTTGGTTAAATAGGAAACTGTGTTTGTTTATATACAGAATTTTATATGTAGATAGATAGATAGATAGATAGATAGATAGATAGATAGATAGATAGACAGACAGACAGACAGACAGACAGACAGACAGACAGACAGACAGACAGACAGACAGATAGATGTTTCATGTGGTTACTGTATTATGTTTTACATGAGGCAATAACACTGCCCATGTTCAAAGGCTTTTGGTGGTTTAAATAAACGTATACTGCTGATTAGCTTATTAGATTGACAAATACACCTGATCAGAGTTGTCCTGCTGTCATTTATCAATATTACCCCTGACTTTAGTTCAAAAAGTGTAGGGTTGTTTGTGTTGGCCAGCCTTTGTAATAGACTGGCTGGCAGTCAGCTGGAAAAGGCTCAAGTTCCTTTATAACCACAGAGAGGACAAAGCAGACATGGAAAATTAATGAATGTTTGTCTATTAATATTGGTTTTCTTTCTAACCACAGCAGTTTTGGACAACCTGAATGTAATGACATAAAAACTGCTCACATATTCTGGGCAAATTCCTTCCAACCATAAAATTTACAGCAATATTTTAGTTAATACTAGAGGTGCACTGATCACTATCTGATTTCTGGTTTGTTTTTATATCGCTTTGAAAAGCCAATATTTGCTTTATTCACTTCTGATTTCTCTTAAAGAACATTACTATATATGTACATACACATCATAAAATACATTTACCATGCTGTAAATTGTTTGTACCACAGGAGCATTAGTATATATATATATATATATATATATATATATATATATATATATATATATATATATATATATATATATATATATGCAGTGTTATGATTGAACGCAGTCACTAAATCCGCTCATATTTGTAGCACATTCAGTGAATCCTTCATAGTATAGAGGGTTGGACTGAGATGGTAGTGAAAAATGATGGCAGCAACATGGAGAACAATGCTGTTACTCTCCAACATTTATACTTCAGCAAAGTTTCTGACGTAACTGACGATACTCAGAGATTTCTACTCAAACCACAGTAAATTTACTACATGCGGTACCAAAGCTGTAAATAAAGCATGTTAAATTATGATTATTTATATAATACAGAACACATAGGTATACACCAATACCTATGCTTAAACCAAATATGCAGATTGTATAACCTTAACTTATTGGAAAAAAAGCTACAGCAAATGTAACTGAGCAAATTTCATGGCCGAGGTGGTTTTTGATATCTTCTACCTTTGATAGAATAAAATGTTTTCTAGAAAAGCATCTGAAGAAAATATAAGTGATAAGGGAATGAAGAGATAAGTCTAGCATCCAAATTTTAACTGTAGAGTAGCAAATGATGGATTTTATAACTTATTTATCTTTTTGATGCTCCCATAAGACATAGAAAAGTTAAAAACGCTAATTTGACTAGTGGGCTTCCTTCCCCCATTAAAACTGACATATTGTTTTTTCTAATAATACTCAAGATCTAATGAAACCCACCCTGCAACGGAGTACCATCATTTTGTGTAACTTATTAAAGCTAGAAGCATCTGCCACAAGGGACTTAAATACAGCAGGATATCAGGCTGCCAAGTTTTCTCTTGGGTGTTGTTTTGATATAACAAAGAGTTGAGCTAAAAGGCACACATTAATAGAGGATGAGACAGTTGGGGAAGGGAGGGGGGCTCTTTTGAAAGCTAATTAGTACTTTTCACTTTAAAAGCAGTCTCTCTTGTAGGGCATTCTTGACAACAGTTTGTATGTTGAGAGGAATATTGTTGGTACCAGTCAAAAACAATTTATAAGGTTGTATAACCTAATAACAAAGATAAGTTTTCATCTTTATTACAGAAAAATGTCAAACTTAACAAATATCTGCAATTTTTCACTAAACACATTGTAATTTATCTGAATTTGATGGAGAGATTGCCAATGATTAAATTGTCTTTGCCATATTTACTAAGTTCACGGGGATGACTTTCTTCACTACGCTGCTGATATTTTTACAGCCTTGCTCTTTCTTTTATGGTGTGCAATTATCTGCCTCCTCTTTATATAAAGTTAATAAACTTCATTAGCCATCGGCACTCTGTGCCTTATGTGCTGACTTCCATATTGAATGTGAGGATGTCAGCTGTCTTTTTGCTGTGTCGCCTTTCTATAATATGAGTCGGCAATGAGACAACTTTAGATCCCTGAAAGGAGTATTAATAATTTTCTAATAATCTCTAGGTTGTTAGCTCAACCAGCTTGGAAACTGACTGCCACAATCCCTTTTGATGTCTGATTCCTTGTGTACTCTCCACTAAAGCTCAAAAAGTACAGACTGACATTATTATTTTAATAGTGCTTTGATCAATTTGGGACGGATGGTTTAAAGAGGGACACTTTTCTTTGCATCACTGCCCACAATTTTGAAGGTGCTCAAAAGTATTTTCAATGTTGATTTTAAAATATTCATATCAGGTTCTGAGTCTAGGGTTCCTCCTTCCAGAGTTTTTAGGTCTAAATTTAGAATGCTCTAAGTGTATGTAGATTATCTGTGAGATGGATGGAGCAATGTTATTTACCTAACTGTTATTGTTCCTGACAGAGATAGAGGATGCATGAAGTACCTAGTTTATTAACAATAATAATATATGTGGAATGAATGCAGAGAGTTAAAAGTCAATACAAATTTGTGCTAAAGTGGCTGATATTTTAGCATTTTGAGGTTCGAATCATCTTTGTTAACCATGAATGTGTTAGGAATTTTACTTTTGATTGCTGAGGATGTCCTTGTCTATACAAATTACAAAAACATAAATAATAAATTAAGAAAAAAAAATCAAAAATGGTCTACAGAATAGAGAGATTGGGGGATATAAATGTAAATTCCTTTATTGTCCCACAATGGGGAAATTTACTCTTTGCATCAGACCCATCCCCTTGGGGAGCAGTGGGCTGCCATTGTGTGGCGCCTAGGGAGCAGTGTGGGGTTAAGTGTTTTTCTTAGGAACCCAGATTGGAGGCTGAGAGGATCGAAAAGGGTACTTGCAACCTTCTCAGAGCAGAAGCGCACTGCTCTAACCACTAGGCCAACTCTCCCCGAATGTGGAGTGGGGGGATAGGGAAGAGGGTGGGGGCCGAACTTCAATGTCGTTACTAAAGTTTTGAGCATTAGGGTGTTTCTGCCACACCAGAGAGCCAGCTGATCATTTTGCTATGTGTAGAATAACTCAACACCTTTCTGGATGTGTTTAATCAGCAAACTTCAGGAGTTTAACTGTTGGAAAAAAGCTGTGGGAAGAGCATTCGCCAATGGGGGCACCATTTCTAATTGTTTGGATTCACCGTCTCCTGGCAGTTAGGAAATTTGCAATCTACTGACTGGTGGAGGCTGGTAAGGTGAGTTAGGGGATTTTGGATTTTGAGAATGCTCTTGAACAAGAATCTTGCTTAAGACCTGGAAGCATTGATTTCTTGCTGGATCTAAAGCAGTCATACATTGGCTGCATCATCATATGACCGACAGTATTATCCCTGTAGGCTAATGCACGGGCCTTGCCAGGGGCATGTGATGTTGTTCAGGGGGGCAAACACTAGTCTTTTACTTGATGACTACACATGTCATGGTGCTGTCATTAAATCTAGAAAGTGGTTGATTTTGGGGGCGTTGGAGTGGCATTTAAGGTGGGAACCTTCCAAAGCTCAAGTGCAGCTGGAATTGCACTGTCTGTGACATGCTTAGTTAGCCAGGATTTAGTAAATCATAGCGTAGCTGATCTGAAGCAGTCTAAGTTAAATCTGTTGAAGAGAAGCAGTTAAGTTAGGAGGATAGAAAGGAACACAGGGCAGAAACCCTGCTGTCTCAGCTTAACTAGCTCAGCTGCATGCTCTCTCCTGTCTTCCGTATATTGCAAAGCTACTGCATGGACTTGTTATGCATCCACTAGGAATCCAAAAAAAGTAGCAGGTTCACTCAGGATCGAATGGATAATTAGTTACAGTCAGAGGTTTAAGAGCTCTTCTTTGGTATAAATTACCAGTGAGGGACAGAAGGGAACAGAGTTAAAAAAAAACAACCCAAAAAACCAAAGCATGTTTTCTTGCAGGAAGTACTATACCTGGTGTGAAACAGGCAGCAAAATGTTATGTCAGACCTCAACTTGTGATGAATCGCAGGTCCTAAAAATACAGGATAAAAAAAAAACCAAAAATTTTTAAAAAGCTGCTAGTGTCTCAGGGTTTTATTACCTCTAATCTGTTCCTTTTATTCTCTTCTCTCTTAAAGGTTTTTGGATCAATTTTCCTCAGCTTCCCCTCTGTTCTGTCCATCTACCTGTCACTGTGACTGCAGTTTATCTTCATGTTGAGTCTTACCCCAACACAGCACATAAGATAGAGGTAGGTAATCTATCACATATTGCCAGGGGCACAACATACAGGGGGGACGTTAGAAAGGTCCCAATAGCCCCTTACTGAAAATAGATACAGATTAATATAAAATGTATAAATATATATGTTCAGTGTAAATAAATGTAATAACAAATTGAATTAAATCTATCATAGTAATGATATGTTTACTACTATTTATCACTTTTTTATTAAGCTTAATTTTCCCAGTTTAATATCAAAAGTAAAACTCTATATTAATACAAAAATTCCCCTTTGTGTGCGTGATATTGTTTGACTTGCAAGCGAGATCAATTTTTACAAAATGTGTGAATTCACAAACTCCCTAAAATACTTCTTGTTAAAAGCTAATAGATCCATTAGAATCAATACAGAAATGTATCAGATGAATGAAATGTAGTGAAGTGTATGGCGTCAACCAGAAGTTGAAGTCTGAAGAGAAAGGAAGGGAACTTTGACTTTTCTGGGTGAGAAAGATGTTTGCTCATTCAACACTTGGTGATTTACCCAGTTAACTCAAAGAATTGTATTGAATGTCCCTCCCTTTTGCAAACACTTTCCGCTGGAGCCTTTCCTGGTGGTACTGTGTGAAATTCAAATTGAACTACATGTATCAATCTGCTTATGCTGCTTTATGAACCTGCTTATGCCAGGTTATGAAATTATGGCTGAATTAATAGACCTGATAGGGATGGTGTTTAATAACAGTCAGTGGATTCACCAGAAGTATATAGCAATAGTGATGGCCATGCTGTATAAAATATACCAGAATCATGTTTAGAAAAGGTAGAAGAAAAAAGAAATAGAAAAACACAAAAGTGATATGTCTTTTAGCATAGCTTTTCTGCTAAAGAGGTGGGTAGGCTATCGAGCTATGGACCTGCTAAGCCAGTTTAGTAATATTTTACTTTAGTTTATTAATTGGGGACTTGGGAAAAGAGGGAAATTCAGCAATACCATCCCAGCTGATTGGGTGGTAATACACCTGCCTACCAACGTTTGATTTTAGTAAGGCACAGTAATAAATGAAATAGCAACAGAAACATCTGTGCAGCTTAAAAACTGGAGACCACAGGTAAAAATTGGAGTCACCTTCCAAGGTGGTTGACAGTGACAGAGGTAAGGATGTCCAGATACATACGAACAAAACCAACTAGGCATTGTTATAATGATAGGCAGCAGAACAGAGGAATGCTGTAGTGATTGATATGGCCATCTTAAATGATGGAAACATGAGGAAAATAGAACATGAGAAACGGGAGGAATACATATGGCCCAGGGAAGAACTAAAGAGAGGCTGGAGGGTCAAGGCCTGCGGTAAAGTCAGTAACGAGGTCCAGGTCAGTAACCCCCACACTTGAGAGGAGGCCCCAACAGATACCTAGAGAAACATCAGATATCTAAGTTCAGAAGAGCAAAATCCTNGGGAGGAATACATATGGCCCAGGGAAGAACTAAAGAGAGGCTGGAGGGTCAAGGCCTGCGGTCAAGTCAGCAACGAGGTCCAGGTCAGTAACCCCCACACTTGAGAGGAGGCTCCAACAGATACCTAGAGAAACATCAGATATCTAAGTTCAGAAGAGCAAAATCCTAAGAACATCTAAGAAAATGTGAAAAAACTCTGAAGATCCCAGGCCTGGGCTTGAGAAGAAGAGCCAGCCACCCTGGCCAAGGCATAAGCGAGGGAGTAGTTTTGTAATTCGAGAGATAAAATATAAAACATCAAAATGCTGACTTTGTTTGTTCATTGATCCCTCTCAGCCCACCCCTCCCAAACAGAGAAGGAGCCACAGTCCTATTTAAAGCAAGATATGCTTTAAACAGCTGAATTACACTAACTTGTCACAACAGCCGATAGTCCAAAAAACAAGGTGGGCTGAGAGCAATTCAATAAAACGTAACAAAGAACATTTAGGTACATACCTCTTGCCACAACCTAGAAATGTGCACCCCCAAGTCTCTTCAAGGGCTTTGTGACAAATGTTTGTGAGTGGCTGTTAATATTCTATTTTATTTGTTATAAACTTGCCTCAATATTTGATTTCAGTCATGGTGTTTTTTTATTATTTTGAAAAGAGTGTTTGTGCATAGTCATATTTTGACTATCAGAAATAAAAAGAGTAAAATCATATTACAGGGAAAAAAATATGACAAATTAATCAAAGGATGACTGCAGAATTTAACCAGAAAAGTTGGCATAACACTTTGCATGTCAAGACTTAAAAACTGCTTGTCCAAACAAGTTTGTAAGTGTTTTAATACATGCAAACCTGAAAATCAGCCCCATAGCGCATAGAGATACAGGCAATGTAAGCAGAGTAACACAGAGATGGGGAGCTGAACCTTTTGCAAGTACATCTGAAAAGAGATATGATCAAACAATACAAAAACAACATTTTGCAGTATCTGAAATATATTAGCTACTACAATACAAAGAGCGGAATATTTGAATGTGAATTATCCATTGGGATATATTCAGAAGGTATCATAGCACACCTCAACAAATTAAATCTAAGTTTGCATTTGTAAGGTGACAAAATGTGTAAATTCAAAAAGATTTTATTCTTTTGTAACAAGCTTTGAATTTAATATTCTGAAGACTAAAATACTGATGTTTGATCTTTTCTCTCCCCTTAAATTACAAAATAAATTGGTGAAGTATTTAAAAGCAGGTACTGAACATTTGATGTACTGACTATGCATGAAGTGCCAGGAGCTATTGACCCTGAGTTTAGACAAATGCTGTTTTGGTGGAAGGGAATGCATTGCTAGTGTAAAAAAATTACATTTTGAATCAAACAAAACAGATAACATTGCAGGCCTTATCTCTACCACAAATCTATTATGTGAGCATAAAATGTTGATTGAAAAAGAAAAACAGTATCTGCATCTGTATAATTCCAATCTTGTTCCTAAAATATAAAAGTAGCTCTCCAATGCATAGCTTCACTAAACCACAGAATGGAACCTGTTACCACAGTGACTGTACAACTAAAGTAGCTGACCCAGTTTCTGTGCAACTAGATGAATAACTTACTTCAAAAAATGTATTAATTCTGGACAACTTTTAACAGAATCAGCATAATACAATCTAGGCCTGAACAGAAACAACTACTGGCCTTCTAACTTCCATTTAACAAAGTTACAGGAGTAATGCACAATAATGCATTTTCTTGAATCTTATGTAAAAAAAGAAGACATCATGGTTCAATGCTAATCCACAAACCCATTAAGTAAAGATATTTACTACATTTAAATAGGAACACAGTAATACAGGGTAAAATGCCCCAGGGCATCTTACCCAAGATTAACAAGGCATGGCCTGTAAATACAGAAAAGGCCCTTTACAAGGGACTAAATAGGGCAAACTTCATTAACACATTAACTCAAGTTAAATATACACAAAGAAGCATTGGCCTGTGGCAATGACACTAGGGCAGGCTAAATTGAGACCTTAATTATTCTGCATTATATCGCTGAAAAAAAAAGGGAAGAAATCAGCATGTGAAAGATAAATCCAGTCTGATAAGAAAAAGTGATGAGGATAATTATAGAACTTTAATTGCCCTATTATGTTCACTCTGCACTATATGCTGCAGTTATTGACCTGTCTTTTTAAAATGTTTCCAGTATTGTTCTGACAGACAGACAGGCATAGACTTTTACCTTTTGTAGACATACCTTTAGGATATAACTCACAGTATTTGGAATTGAGTTAAAAAAATGCTTTGTTTTAGTGCCAAAACACTTTGTGCCAAAATTTTGTGTTCTGCTTCGAGCCAGTACTGCCTTCCTGAAACCTGATTTTCTGAAGACAGAGTGATTATCTCTTCTAGGCACTTTACAAGATACAGTAAAAGAGACTAAATTATACATGATACTTCTGTTTGTCTGTTTGAGCCAAACAGAGAGACATGCAACCTGCTGTTAAAATTAAAGCCAAAAAACATAAAGTAGTGTATTAAAAAAATGAATAAAAGTAGGTAGTCTGGTTTCCTTTAATACTCCATTAACATGCAAGGTAAGGTTACTGGCTCCTATTAACTGGAATTAAGAGAAAATCTGCACTGATGCACTCCAGGTCATGTCCCTCCCACTTCTCTCTTGGTTATAAGGTCCAGCTTCCTCTAATATCCTTAAGCGAACAAAATATTGAAAATGATTTTCAAGTAAGCCCAAGAATAATTTACTATGCTTTTGTATTTAACTTGTTAGTATAATGCTAGTTTGAGTGTGCCACTAACAGTTTTCATCAAACACAAGAGACTGTGGACATGTACTATTTATAGTGACATTACAATTTGTATTATGTTAACACTGGTAGACATCTGCAGACCCTGGCAAGTTTTATGATGTGTGTTATTTTAACTGATTACCCTAAGCTACAGTATATGCAAAGATCAATTTAATCTAAAAGTGTGAAAGCTTGAATTGCAGTTCAGCACTAAGGTGAAGTTCCACACTCTAACAGCTCCTGTGAAATGTGATTATACAGAGGAGATGCTATCACAGAACAGCAGATAATAACTGAATACACATCATGTGAATAAAATTCAAAGGGCATGATAATCAGTTATTCCAGATGGTAACTAAGAGTAGACATAATGTTAATGGGGGCTTCAGGAGTGGGGAGTCAGGGGCCCTTTATTAGGGGCCACGCGGTCCCACTACAAGCTGAGCAGTACCTTGGTCGGCATTGTCTGTAATAAGTCCGACCTATTCCTGGAGCATTTTGGACTCCAACATGGCTGCCCTCTGTCGCCGATCCTGTTTATAACCTTTCTGGAAAGGATTTCTATCCACAGCCAAGGGTCGAAAGGGGTCTTGTCCGGGGACCTGTGTATCTCTTCCCTGCTTTTTGAAGATGACGAGGTTCTGCTGGTTCCCTACTGCCAAGGCCTACAGCATGAACTGGGGTGGTTTACAGCCAAGTATGAAGTGATGAGAATTAACTTCTCCAAATCTTGGCCATTGTTCTCGACCCGAAAAAG